TGCAGAAGGAGACGAACCCGCTCCGTACCCCACGTACCAAAGGGGCGAGGTGCTGGGGCCGGAGCTCCCACGGTTGTGCTGGGCTGTCCTGCCGGCCAAAGGGAGACTGGGGGCGCGGGCAGCGGGGGCGGGCAGCACGCAGCTCCTGACAGGCCTGCACCGCCGCGTGGGCCGCTGTGGAGCGGGGCCGCGGAGCAGCGGTGCCGCAGGCGTTTCTGTTGTCCGAGCCGCACGGGCGCGTGGGCTTCAGGAAACCAGGAGCAGCCGACCCTCGAACACGCAGGGTTGAGGGGTGCCCACCCCCGAGCAGTTGGAAATCTGTGTGCAGCGAAGTCCACCCCCCACCCACGTGCACTCCCAGCCCGTGTCCGTGGGGACCCCCCAACAGCGCGGGTTTCAGCCGCGCGGGCCCCTGGCTCCCAGAGCGCACGCCCAGGCCTGCGCGGTCCGAGGGGCGGCTGGACGCCCCCCACCGCCACCCCGGCCCCCGCTCTCGCCTTCTCCCCTTCTCCCCAGAGGCCTCGGCTTCGGCCCGAGGGCAGCAGCTGTTCTGCCCCCTCCCCAGCCTGGTGGCCCTGGAGGTCGTGCTCGGCGTGTCAGGCAGCTCTCACACGTCACGGAAGAACCCGTGCTGACGAGGTCTCCGGGCCCCCCCACCCCCAGCAGGTGGCCTCTGCCGTGTCACGGGACCTGTGTTCTGTGTTTTGCTCAGGCGTCCCCCCAGACGGTGACCCTCACCCAGGCGACGGCCACCGGGCAGCAGGTGCAGATGATCCCCGCGGTGACCGCGACCGCACAGGTGGTGCAGCAGAAGCTCATGCAGCAGCAGGTCGTGACGACTGCGGCAGCCCAGCTGCAGGCCCCTGGGGTCCCCAACCCCACCCAGGTGCCAGCCGGCGCCGACAGCCCAAACCAGCAGCCCAAACTACAAATGAGGGTCCCTGCCGTCCGGTTAAAGACGCCCACCAAGCCCCCGTGCCCCTAGCTGGGGAAGCAGGCAGCCGCAGGGCGGGCCACCGAGCACTCCGCCGCCTGGCCGGAGCCCACGGGCTGCGCTGACCGCTGGACCTCGGGACAGCGCCGCGAGCGGTTCAGTGCCTGCAGAGCTGCGGCGAGCTGGCGGAGCCCTCACTGCCCACGGTGGCCCTCGAGGACCACCGCCTCTTCTGCGGGAGACCGGCTGGCGGGGCCGCGGTGGCGGTGTGTCCTCGGCCACTGCCCTCTGGCCGCTGCCCCAGAGCAGCAGGGCTGGGCGCGAGTGCCTCCGGAGGCTGCCAGTGCCCGGCGTCCGCGTGTCACCGGGCCACGCGGAGCACACGGCGAGCCGTCAAGGGACGTCCTGAAGCCGAAGTGCAGTGTTGACAGCGTCCACCTCTGCGTGGTTCTCGGTGCCCAGCTGGACACGCGCCGCGGTCCCGCGAGGAGAGAGGCCCCTGGGGTCAGTCATCTCGGCCGAGAGCCAGCGCCGCTCCTTCCTGCTCTCGGAAGCGGGGCCTGTCGCAGCGGGGAGGGAGCCGCCCAGCGCCGACGCCCCAGAGGCCCCTGGTAACGGGGCCCCGGCCCGTGAGGAAGGGGCGCGCTGCGACCCAGCTCCCGTCCAGAGAGCAGCCGGGCCGGCCGGGACCCCGCCCAGCACCCCGCAGCACCCCCAGCTTCTGCGGGGGTTTGCACGGACTCAGCGCCCGAAGCAGCTCCTGCAGGTCGGGGGGCTCCTGTCTCGGAGGGTCAGGGCCCAGAGGGCCGCACCGCTCGGAGGGCCGGGGGGCGGTCTCGCCGCCGTGCTGGTCCCCCCTCAGCTGCGTGGACAGCGGCACGCGACTCCCCTGAAGCTGGCGGGCACACCTCAAGTTTGAGTTCTTGGTGAGGAGTCCGGAGAAAAGCAGAAGTCAAGTGCTGAGAAAACAGAGGGGGCTCGACACTTCAGTTCACTGAACGCAGGAAAACAGAACCGTTAACCCAGCCTCCGGTTCCGGCCCGGCACAGCCTGGCGGCTTCCTGCCCTCCGTCCCGTGTGCGCCCCTCTCGTCCGGCACGGGCTGTCGGCGGCCCCTCTTGCAGCGACGAGACGCCCAGCAGGCCCGAGGAGCCTCGCCAGGCCCCCTGGAGACGGCTGCGCGGCTGCAGCCCGCTCGCCACCGCAGGGGAGGTGTTCCCTCGGCGTCTCTGTGACGCGCAGTGTGGAACGGGAAGGAGTTTTCTGGGGCCCCTTGGCTCAGTGACGCCCAGGTGTCGCCACGGACCTGCAGTGCAGTCGCTCAGGGGGAGCCCTCCCTCCGGAATGCCCTTTCCGAGGCCAGGCTCTCCGTGCGGAGGAGTCGGTCGGCGTGAAGCTCCGAGGCGGCTGCGCAGGCCTCCGACCCTGGCTGCTGCGAGAGCCTGCGCTGCGCTGCCCGCGAGCCCGCCCCACGAGGGACGCGCCTGGGCCGGCAGGGGGTGGGGGCGGCCGTCTGAGCAGAGGCAGCAGGACTCGGTCCGGCTGGAGCCGTTCTCCCGGCGAGAGGCTTGCCCCCTGACGACGGCCGGCGGCTCGCAGCGCCCCCTGGAGGCGGGGCCTGGCGAGGCATCCCTCCTGCGTCCTGATGGTCTCGTTTAACTGTTGTAGCCAGGTAGCTGTTGTGTTTTAAAGTAATGAAAGAAGAAGACCGAAGTTGTAAATACTTTGTAAATATAATCATTTGTACTTGAACAGTAGGATTTTGAAGGGCACTGATATCCCACCCCACGAAAGGCATAATAAACGACCTTTTTATAGTTTTCTTCGTTGGTCTTTCATGGAACACGACTTAGAGAAGGTGCCAGTTGTGCTCATTTCGTCGTGCGGCTTTGGAGGCCGAGGTTTGCTTCCCGGGCGCCCCACCCCGGGGGAATAGGGGCGCGCCTGCAGGCTGGCCCGGGGTTACCGGTTACTTCTGCAGAGCCGGCCTCCACCCAGCCCCGAGTTCCAGAGCTGCCCGCGAGGAAGGACCGTACTCTCAGGTGCCGCCGCCGCCATCCGGTCCCTTCCTGGCCCGCCACCCACGGGCGAGGGTCCCCCGGAGGGCCTGGCCCGCCTCCGGCAGCCCCCTGGCTGGACAGCCAGCAGCTCCAGCCCCGCAGCCAGCGGGCCCCGCCCTCCCCTTCGTCTCTTCTGTTTTCAGGCGTTTTTTCCTCTGGTGAAAAAGCGTCTCTGGTTACAAAGAAAATACCGCCCACTTTTATTTCCACTTTTTTACAACACACAGCCAATGCGAAGGTAAGTGCCCTGAGAAGTCCATGGTCGGTCATGGGGTCCCCTCCCCCACTGGGCCAGCGTGGCTCCAGCCCCGACTGGCCCTGCGTCCCTGTCACCCCCTCGGCCAGGCGTGCAGGCCCCTGCAAGCATCAGCAGCCCCCTCTCCCGGTCCCGCGCGCCCCGGTCCGGGATCCCATGCCTGCCTGGCCGCGTGCTGGGGCTGCACCCCGCAGGGCCTCGCTTCCCACCCATGCACCCCCGTGGCCGCCGTGCTGTGCGGGGCCTGCTTGCCCCTGGTTGTCTGTCCTGCTCTCAGGGTTCTCGGTGGAGCAGGTGGCCCTGCAGCCTCAGCCTGCAGCTGTGCGTGGGGGGCCTGGGGTGGGCTTTCCTGGTGTGTGACCATCGTGGGGGCACCCAGGTGATAGGACTCTGCCATCTGGCACAATGGGTCACACCTCTGACCCCGGGAGTCTGTTGGCCCCTATCTGCAGTGCAGGGGGGCACCTGCGTTCAGGTGAACCTACCGTACACCCCAACCACGGCCACCTGTAGAGGCCTCACGTAGATCTCCCTGCACGCTAACCTCTTGCCAGGCTTCCCGACAGGGCTGTGGCTCAGGGGCCTTTGGGAGAGAAGAGGGGGCTCCTCCGCCACTTGTTCTGGGCAGCAAGGCTGCCCTGCCCTCGGCCTGCAACCCCCACACGCAAAGCCAGCTGACCGCCCCAAGGCCCGGGTGCACGGCCCGAGTCCAGGGGTGTCGAGTGCAGCCGCCGAGAGCAGGCTGTGTGGTCCGGAGTGGGGAGGCCGCGGGGGTGAGGAGGTGCAGGACTGCACGTGGGCACTGCCGGAGTGGAGCTCCTCGTACACGCGTGTGCGCAGAGAGCATGTGTGCAGAGGGCATGTGTGCGCAGAGGGCCGTGGGGTGCCTGTGGCAGAAAGGGGTGCTTCCTTGTTTGGCATAACCTGGTGACTGTTCGAGCAGCGCGCCACGGGCTCTGTTACGTGAGGGGCCAGAGGTCGCCCGTGCGCGCCCCCAGCCCCTCAGGAAGCTTGTTGTTTGTGGGGCGGCTCCCTGACGCGCACCAGCCCCCAGCAGGCTGCCCTGCTCCCGGGGCCGCCCTCCCCGCCCCCTGCGGACCAGGCCTCCTCGCTCGCCCCCTGGCAAAGCGTGTGCTGGCTCCTCCCTCCTCTCGTCCCCGGCATTCCGGCTCCCCGGTGGCACCTGGTGCCGGACGGGGGGAGGTCCTGTGTGACCCCTGGGGCACCGCTGTCCGTGTCACCTCTGTCCTGTGTGTCCAGGGTCGGCCCTGAGTGACAGACAGGGAGGGCTGAAGCTGGGCAGACTACACGGGGGACAGTGTGGGCAGCTTGCCCTTGGGCCCGGCAGAGAGGAACGCAGCTGCAGGCTGTGGCCACCGCCCCACAGACGCAGGGCCCAGGACAGGCTCCGGCCCCGGCCAGCAGCCCAGAGTCCAGACACGGGCCCCCACTGTCAGGTTCAAGGCCCCAGCCGGCCCAGCCGAGAGGCGGCGTGTGGCGAGCAGGGCGAGTCCTGCGGAAGCGCAGCACGTCCCAGGTGCCGGCGGGGACGCACTGGGCTCACCCCACTTGACTGCCCCTCGCTCCCACCCAGGAGGGCCCCCAGCCAGGCCCACGGGACACGCAAGCACGCTGGTTTCGTGCGCGTGCCGGCATCCGTCCCACCGCACCTCTGCCTGGCCGACCGGGAACCCCAGACCTGTGGGCAGACCGTCCTTCAGCTCCCGTGAATAACGCAGACACAGAAAGACCCAGTTCCTCCAGTTTTTTAGTGACGCTGAGCGCTGGGGGAGGCCTCCCCCGGACAGTGGGTGAGTGCTCCCGAGGCCGTCTGCAGCGCCCAGCCCCCCGCGGGGGCGTGTCCGCCAGCACCCGGCGCTGGGTGCACTCCGCAGGCCGGGGCCCGGCTGTGCGGCTGGTCGGCTGGTTGGCCGGCCTTCTCCGCGCCTGAGGACGTTTTCTCGTTGCTTTCAGAGAGGGAGAGAATGAGAGAAAGAGGGAAATGTCGACGTGACAGAGAAATAGCGACGGGCTGCCCCCAGTGCGCACCCCAGCCGGGGACTGAACCCGCAACCTTTGGCTGCGGGCCTGTGCTCCAACCCGCTGGGCCACACGATGCCCGTGACAGTGCAGACACCTCCCCGGGCCTGCTGGGCCGCGGCAGGAGGGGCCACCGTCCGACGCAAGACGACCACACTGACGTCGTCGGAAGAGCTTTATCCCCAAACGCAGCTCAGAGCCGACCCCACCCTCAGCCCAAACCACCACGGCCACCACCCTGTCGGTTCCTGGGCAGCGTGGACAATGCCACTGAAGCTGTTTCGGGTGAAAGCGCCCGATCAGAGGGCGCCCTTGACAGTCCCAGCCAGGCCCGGGCAGTGACAAGAGGGCCTCGCGTCCCGCGGCCTCTTCCGGGGGGGCGCACGCACCTTGCTGCCATGGAGGGTCCTGCCCGCCCCCGGAGCCCCTGCCTAGGCCGCCTTCTGCCTTTGTTCTTCCTGCGGGAGGAGAGGAGGGGGTCAGCCCCGACCTCCCCTCACTGGTCGGCAACCCAGCCGGCCCCCCGGCCCTGAGAGGGAGCGACACCCAGCGCTCGCTCAGAAGGCACAGCTCTGGTCCGGACGTTCAAGGGCAACCCTGGGACCCCACCTCCCCTCCGTCCACCCGCCGTCCCGATGCGAGGTGTCCCCTAGAGCTGCCACGGGCCCTCACCTTGACGGCCCTCTCCAGCTGGGACAGAGCCGCCTCATACCGCGGCACCAGCGGCTGCAGGAGCTCGGGGGGCGTGTCGTGCCGCTGCAGCTCGGGGGCCCCGGCTTCTGCCAGCATCCGGAGGAACTTCCGCTCCTGGAGGGGGCACGCGAGTGGGAAGGGGCTCACAGCGCCCCCCACCCTTCCCCCCGCCCCCTGGGGGCCTGCGCGCCTGACCTGCACTTTGAGGAGCAGCGTGAAGGCCTGGCCGGTGTTCCCCGCCCGGGCCGTCCTGCCGACCCTGCAGCCACACAGACAGACGGGCACCTCCAGAGCGGCCCCCGCTGCCCTGCGCGGGCCCCACGGGCAGCCCTTCTCCCACCCGGCCCCGCCCCCCCACCCCACCCCCACGGCAGCGCGGCCCCCACCGGTGCACGTAGGTCCGCAGGTACTGGGGGGCGTCGTAGTTGACCACCAGCTGCACGCCCTGCACGTCGATGCCGCGGGCGGTGGCGTCTGTGCTGATGAGGCTGTGGGGGCACGAGGGCTGTGGGGCCAGCCCGAGGCCAGGCGCTGGGGTGCCCCCTGCTCCCCCACCAACTGGGGACACCCCCACGGCATGAGCACGCCCTGCCGGGGCCAGGCAGCCACGGGGAGCCAGCAAGCCCCCCAGGCACTCACAGCTGGATCTTCCCCTGCTCAAACTGCTTCAGGACCGTCCTCCTCCAGCCAGGGCCGCAGCGGGAGGAGAACTCGGCCACCGCCACACCCCCGAAAGCCTGGACCAGCAGGAAGAGCCTGCAAGGGCAGAGCCGGGTGGGCCGGGGCCTGAGGCCACCTATCCCCTCGCCCCCCCCCCACCCACTCCACCCTCGCACACCTGCCTGCCGGTCCCACCTGTGGGCGTTCTCCCGGGAGTTGGTGAAGCACAGGACCCGGGAGAAGCTCATGTGCAGGATCAGGTGCAGGACGACCAGCGGCTTGGCCTGCAGGCTGCAGGGCACGTAGTGGTGCTGTGGGGACAGGGCGGGGTTGGCCCGGCTCCAGGAGCCCAGGCCCCCTCCCCCGCCCGCGGGCCCAGCTCACCGAGAGCCCCGAGGGGAAGGTGTACTTCCCGCCCGAGGCCGAGTCCGTGTCCGCGTCCACGCCCGCGTCCCCGGGGCCCCCACGGGCCGGCCGGGTGGAGAAGAGCCGGGGCTGGTACAGGCCGAGCTGCTGCAGCTTCTCGGGGTTCTGGGTCAGGGTGGCCGAGAAGAGCAGCTTCTGCAGGGGCATCTGCGGGCAGCAGGAGCTGGACGGCGGCGGGCACCGAGTGAGTGGCTGCAGCCCGGCCAGCCGCCCTCCTGACCGGTCAGACCCACGGGGCGCTCCTCCCAGGGCAGAGCGGGGCCGGGTACCTGGCAGCGGTCACGGCCTGGGGCTGCCGTCTCTGGAGCAGAGCGCAGGGGTCCCTGGCAGCCTCCCGCGGGAACGCAGCCGCCACCACCCGTGGGAGCCACGCCTGGTGCATGCTGTCCATCATCCGGTCGGCCTCGTCGATGACCTGCGGGGGCACAGGCCCAGGGTCTGGTGGCCAGGCCAGCGTCGGCTGGGAGCCCGGCCCCCCTCTGGGCGGTGGGCACCCTACCAGGAAGCGGAGCTGCTGGAGGCTGAACCCCGGGGTCTGGTCGATGTGGTCCACCAGGCGCCCGGGAGTGGCCACCACGATGTCAGCCAGGCAGCGGAAGCCGTCGGCCCTGTGGAGCAGAGCGTAGCCCAGCAGGAGGCCCCCCGCCCCCCAGGCCCCGGAGCGGGGAGCCCGCGGGGGCCGTGCCCACCCCGGCCCGCCCCGCCAGAGCGTGCGGCCCAGCAGGACCTACGTCTTCTGGACGAGGGTCTCCTGCTCCTTGGCCAGCGACTTCTGCCCCGTGACCAGGGCGACGCGCAGGGGCGTGGCATCCGTGTAGACGTTGAACACTCTGCTCACCTGGGGGAGCACAGGTGCCGTCGGCCTCGCCCGAGACACCGTGCCAGGGACAGGGGCTGGGCGGGACCCCCGGGGTGCGGGGTCCACGTACCTGCTGGGCCAGCTCCTTGGTGGGCAGCACGACCAGCGCTCGGACCTGGCACACGGCTCGCCGCAGCAGGGCCTGAGGGACGAGCAGGGCCCCGGTGTCGGCGCGGCCAGCGGCCCGCCCACCAGCCGCTCGGAGGCCGGGCCCTCACTCACCTGCACCACGGGGATGACGAAGGCCAGGGTCTTCCCGCTGCCCGTCGGGGCGGAGACGCACAGGTCCCTGGGCCGGTAGCCGCCTCTTCCCACCAGGAACCCGCCGGCTGCGCTCTCCAGGAGAGCAGGGATGACCGCTGCCTGGACTGGATGGGGGGGGGGGCGTCAGTCAGGCCTGAGCAGCGACACCCACAGCGCACGCGGCCCGGCCGGTCTGGGGCCCCCCAGGCGGCGGCGCTCCTCCGCGCAGGGGCACCTGGGAAGTAGCACGTGACGCCCTGCGCCCGCAGCTTCTTCTGCAGCTCGGGGTGGACTTCGGGGATGTCCTCGACGGGAACCGTGTCCTCTGTGACATTCCTTCTGACGCGGCTGGGCTCGGCCAGCCACTTGGGCAGGAAAGGGTGGACCTGTGGCCAAGGGTGAGAGGCAGAGGCCAGGCGACCACCGCTCCAGAGCCCGCCCAACGCCCAGCGCCGGGGAGCGAGGCCGCAGAGGCCGCAGGAGGGAGGCCCGACGAGATGGCGCCCTGGCCTCCCCCCGCCCCCGCGCCCCACACAGGCTCGCACCTGCGGCAACACCACACGGCGCAGACCCTGCGAGACCGCGAGGACAGAGGCGACCGCGATGGCGCCCCGCGAATGAGCGCTCTAACCCGAGCGCATCGCACAGCCGGCGTCCGCGCCGTCGGTCGCGGCGCCTCCAGTGCAGCCTGCGCCTCTGGAGCGACTGCGAAGCAGCGGGCGGTCAGTGGGGGGCGGGCAGCACACAGGCTGCGGGGCTGCCAGAGGCCGCACGGCGACCGACAGCGACAGAAACTGCTGGACACTGGAGCTGCCACCAGGGAGCTGCAGGGGCTCGCGGAACTGAGGCTGCGCCTGCCCCGGCCGCACTCGGCGGGCAGAGCCTGTCCGGACCCGAGGGTGCCCTCTGCTCCCCTCCCGCAGCCCCGACCCCGCTGCAGGAGAGACGGCTCGGTGCCGGCAGGGGGCGCTGCGCCCAGACCACGGGAAGCGGGTCTCGCCGGCAGGGCCTCGGCCACCCCTGCCCCACCCCGCGCTCGAGCTGCGGCGCTGGGGCCCCAGGGGACGACTCGGGCAGCGTCCCGGGAAACCTTCCCTCGCCGCCGTCATCACAGCCGCACAGCCGACGACGCTCTGCGCCCCCACGACACAACCCCGGAGAACCCCCTCCACGGGCACCTCCGTCTGCGGCACCGAGAGCGGGTGTTACCCAGACGCCCCGTCTCCAGGACTCGGGGACGTCAGGACTCGTGCGTCCCCTCTCGGGGTCGAGGCTTCCCCTGCGGAGAGCAGCGGCCCCCGTGCCCGGCCCAGCCACGAGCCGCCTTCCCCGGGCCCAGGGACGCTCAGAGCCGTCGCCCACTGGCTTGCGCCCAAAAGCAGGAACTGCGACAGGAAAGGGTGTCGAATGTCGAAGCTGCTGTGCAGCCTGGTCGGCAACCGAGGGGGCCCGGTGCATCCCTGGGGCTGGACTGCTTCGCTCCCCAACAGCCCGGCTCCAAAGGCCCCCCGCTGGAGACGGTGGCGCTCGCTCCTGCGGCATCCCGGTGAGGACGCAGAGATGACCACGCCCACAGCCCCCGCCCCGGGTGCGCCGCGCGCCGCTGTGGGGCTGGTCCTGCCCTGACTCGCGAGAACTGCCCCGCACAGCTGCGCCCCCCTCGTCCTCCGCCTGCGTGAGCACCCCGCCCTCTCCCCAAGTCCGAGCACCCTTTCACGGCGCCTTGGAATTCCGCTCTCCGACCTGTCCACGGACGGGCAGATTTTAGACAACTCGCTTCTTACACCTACGGAGGTTCAAGCCTTCTTTCCGCTGACGGAAAAACACGACACTTTCAGAGCCGAGTGTGGAAATCCTGTTTGCGCGGGTTTCAAGCCCTTAACACGAGTACCCGCACGCACCATGCAAGCCGGAGGGCGGCTCGTTCACCCGCGCCGGTGCCCGCTCACTGCACACCTCGGGACCGCCCAGGGGCGCTGGTCCTCCTCCCGACTGCCCCACGGAGCCTTGCGGGACTGACCACAGCCCCAGCCCCGCCGCCCGCGGGCCGCTCACCTTCGGCGCCCTGCTCCTCCCGAAGCCGCCCAGCAGCAGGGGGTGGGCGGGGGGCCCGGTGGCCTCGTCGGGGGTCCGCCCCCCTGGGGCCTCCGGCGGGGCCTCGGCCTCGGCGTCCACGCCGCTCTCCCGCGGCCCCTCCTCGCTGCTCTCTGCGGGGCAGAACCGGGACAGGGGCGGCGCGTCAGCCCCACGCGGGCCCCGGGCCCCAGGTCGCGCCCTGACCCGCCCCGTCCCGCCGCGCCCGGCCCACCTGCACCCGCCTCCTCGCCGTCCGCTTTCCGTCGCTTGCTCCCCGGCGCGTGCGGGCTCTCCGGCGTCCCACCGCCCCTGCTCCTCCGCGGGCGCCGCCGCCGCCTCCCCGGCGCGCCCTCGGTCCGCGCGGCCTCCTCGGGCTCCTGCTGCCGCGGCTGCTGCTGCTGCAGCTGCCGCTCGCGGGCCCGGCGTTGAAGCCGCTCCAGCAGCGCGCGCGCCCGGCCGGCCGCCTCGGCCTCCGCGCCAGCCGCCTCGGGCCCCGGGTACCGCGCGATGTGGAAGAGCGCCATGCCGGCCGCCGCAGCCCCTGCGGCCCGCGCGCGGCGATGACGGCGAGGCGGGGCCGTGACGTCAGGGCCGCGCCGGAAGGCGGTGCAGAGCCGGGCTGTCCGGCGCGTGGGGCGGCGGCATGCAGAGGGACCCCGGCCCGCGGGGCGCGCGCCGCGCGCTGGGCCGCCTGCTGGAGGCGGTGCTGGCGAGCCGCGGCGAGGCCAACGCCGTGTTCGACATCCTGGCCGTGCTGCAGGTGAGGCGCGCGGGAGCGCGGGGTCTTAGGCCAGAATGCGGGCAGAATGCGGGCCCCGGGCGGGGGCGCGGTGGACCTGGGCCTGGACGTGGGAGACGGTTGCAAGGCGAAGTCTAAGATTTTACTGGGGTTCTGTTCTTGCCTCTCAGGGCCCCCGGGCCGGACGGTTCAGTGGGAGGTTTGGCAGAGGCGGGGTGGAGTCCCTCCAGGGTCAAGTTCGGGGTTCGATGGGGCTGGAGTGGGGGCGGGGGGGAGGCCGCAGTTCCCGGCGGGGCACGGAGCGGCTGTCGTCTCCCCGCAGTCCGAGGACCAGGAGGAGATTCAGGATGCGGTGCGCGCGTGCAGCCGCCTTTTCGGGGCCTTGCTGGAGCGGGGGGAGCTGTTCGTGGGCCAGCTGCCCCCAGAGGAGGCCGTCATGGCAGGTGAGCGTCTTTGGAGGCACAGGGCCCCTTCTCTGGCGAGGTTGGAGAGAAACTCTGTCAACACGGGGCGAGCCCCCGAACCCTAATCGCAGGGCACACGGGGGGGGGGGGCGCGGGGGAGGGGCCGGGCCCACCCGGCCAAGGTTGGACAAAGCCTGATTTCTGTGCACGTCTGCAGCTTGTTTAACAGTTGACTGTCAGTACTAGATAAAGTCGGGGTTCCGTGCCCTGAGTCTTGGGCTGTTCAGGTCTCGGGGGAAAGGCGAGGGGATGGGGTTCTGCCCCTGAGGTAGGCGCTGCTCTCCCTGGTTGGGCTGAGCAGGGGTCACCAGTATGGGCTGACCCCCGCCCCCGCCCCCGCAGGGTCCCAGGGGGCCACTCGGAAGTACAGGGTGTGGATGAGACACCGATACCAGAGCTGCTGCAACCGCCTGGCGGAGCTCCTGGCCCACCCCTCGTTTCAGGTCAAGGTGAGTCACGGGGTCCCAGGCCCTGCCTCTTCTTGTCCGTTCCCTGCACCCCAAGCCCCGCCCCCCGGCAGAGGCCCCTGCCGCAGGCCCTCAGCCGTCTGCGTGAGGACGCTCTCTCTTTTCCATTGGCCGGTCCTGTGCGGGTGGCTGCGACCTGCCCCCGACTCCTCCCTCTTGGGCCCCCGGGCCTAACGCTGGGGGCGCTTTGGGGGCCGGTCCGTTGGGGAGGGGGACGAGTTGTTGGGCAGCACGGCCACTCTGCTGCCCTCCTTCCAGGAGCTGGCCCTCGGCACACTCATGAAGTTCGTGCGGCTGGAGGGCGCACATCCCCTGGAGAAACCCAAGTGGGAGGGCAGCTACCTGTTCCCCCGCCAGCTCTTGAAGGTGAGGGCGCAGTGGGGTCCTGGTCCTGGTCCTGACTTCCGGTGGCCCCCAGGTGGGACGGCCGGCTGTCAGGTGCCACGCTCTGCTGCATCCAGCCCGTGGGAGGGTCAGGCCGCCAGCTCGGGGTTCTCCTGGGGCGGTCCGGTGTCGGTGGGGCTGCTGGCCGAGCTCAGCCCTGGGCCGGCCGGCCCTGGGGTGGAGAGGCGCTCACCTGCCCGCCCACCCTGGCCCAGGCGGTGGTGGAAGGCCTGCTGTCCCTGGAGGAGGACCGCTCGCTGCTCCTCTCCCAGTTCCGGGAGTACCTGGAGCACGACGACGTCCGCTACCATGTGATGCAGGCGGTCACAGACACGGTGGCCCGGGTCGCCAGCGGGCACCCCGAGGTGAGCTGGCTGGGCCCCACATCTGGGGGAGGGGAGGGGGCGTGCCGGAGGCCAGGCGCTCAGGCCAGGCCTCTTGCAGGTGCCCCTCGCCTTCTGGAACAACGCCTTCACGCTGCTGTCCGCCGTGAGCCTGCCTCTCCAGGAGAGCGACCTTGCTAACTTCTATGTGAAGCGCTCAGGTGGGCGTCCTGGGTGGGTGGGTGGGCGGGCGCCAGGGCCCTGCACCCTCGAGGCCCCACCGGCCATCACCTCCCTCCCGGCTTCCTTGCAGAGCTGTCGGACAAGTGGAAGGTCACCCATCTCAAGGTGAGACCGTTGGGAGGAGCGGCAGCCTCCCCGAGAGCAGGTCCTCTCCTGGGTGTCGCCACCCCCCAGGCACAGGCAGCCTTTGTAGGGACAAAGGGGGTGGGGGGCCAGCCACCGAGAGAGGACCCCTGGGGGAGAGGCGGGCACAGGCCCGCCGGGCATCAGCGGAGTGTTTTGATTTCGGGCCCTGGGCGCTCCGATGTGCCAGTGGCCGGAAGTGGGCGGGGCTGGGAAGGACGGGCGGGGCCTGGCGGCAGCGTCTGCAGCCCAGACCCCGCCCCCACAGGAGCACCGGAGGGCCTTCCAGGCGATGTGGCTCGGCTTCCTCAAGCACAAGGTAGGGCCTGGCGGGAAGCGGGCTCCCGGGTCGGGCCCCTGGCCCGAGCGGGTGGGGTGTACCCCGGGCAGGCCGCGCCCTGACCTGCGCGCCGCCCCCAACAGCTGCCCCTCAGCCTCTACAAGAAGGTGCTGGTGATCGTGCATGACGCCATCCTGCCCCACCTGGCCCAGCCCAGTCTCCTGATCGACTTCCTCACTCGTGCCTACGACGTGGGTGAGTGGCAGGAACCTGGAGGCCTGACCACGGGGGAACACGGGCGCCTAAGGCTCCTCCCCTGCCCTCGGCTGGCCTGTAGGCAGGCGGCTCCCCTAGCCTCCAGCTTTTCTGGACTCGCTGGGGGTGGGTGCAGGTGGGGCTGGGGCTGCATGGCTGTGTGTCTGTCTGCAGGGGGCGCCATCAGTCTCCTGGCCTTGAACGGACTTTTCATCCTGATTCACAAGCACAACCTGTGAGTGTCAGCCTGGCGTGCGCAGGCCTCTCCCCGCCCGCCCCCTGCCCCAGCCTGGGCCCCTGCTCTGCCCCGGGCATGGAGGCTGCGGGGGGAACTGGGCCTCTGGGGGCTGGGATTCCCTGGCGCCCTGCTGCCTGCTCGCTCTGCGCCCTCCCCCCCACCCCCCCGCGTGGCTGTCCCCCTGCTGCCTTCCCCTCACCCACCCCGCACCCGCAGGGAGTACCCCGACTTCTACCGGAAGCTCTACGGTCTCATGGATCCGTCCATCTTCCACGCCAGGTACCGGGCGCGCTTCTTCCACCTGGCCGACCTCTTCCTGTCGTCCTCGTGAGTGCCCCGGGGCGGGAGGGGGCGCAGGGTTCCCGGCCTCCCTCGCAGCCACAGGACTTCCTGTCCCTTCTTGGGCCGCAGCCTGCCCCACGGGGCTGCATACGGGCCCAGGAGGGGCTGGTGTGCCGGGGGGGGGGTCTCACGCCCACCTTCCTGCCCAGCCACCTGCCCGCCTACCTGGTGGCCGCCTTCGCCAAGCGCCTGGCCCGCCTGGCCCTGACGGCGCCGCCCGAGGCCCTGCTCCTGGTGCTGCCGTTCGTCTGCAACCTGCTGCGCAGGCACCCGGCCTGCCGCGTGCTCGTGCACCGGCCCCGGGGCCCCGGTGAGTGCCCTGGCCCCACAGGCCTGTCCCCCCGGGCCAGTGCTGGGGGCAGGCGGTGGAACAGGTCTGGGTCTCGTCCCCAGAGCTGGATGCCGACCCCTACGACCCCGACGAGGAGGACCCCGCCAAGAGCCGGGCCCTGGAGAGCTCGCTGTGGGAGCTGCAGGTGAGGCGCCCCAGCCCCACCCCCTCGAGCTGCTGCCCGGGCTGCCTGGGGGGCCCAGGCCTCTGCCTGGGGTGTCCGCTTGTCCCCCGCACGGGCTGTGGGGGGCGGGGCAGCCCGTGGGGGTGCTGACGCCCGCGCGCCCTGCAGGCCCTGCAGCGGCACTACCACCCCGAGGTGTCCAAGGCCGCCGGCGTCATCAACCAGGTGCTGTCTGTGCCCGAGGCCAGCATCGCGCCCCTCCTGGAGCTCACGGCGTTCGAGGTGCGGCGCGGGGCCGGGCTGTGGGGGAGGGGGAGGGGCCGGGGCCCTGGGGGCCCCCCGGTGCCAGGGCGTCCGTCCTTCTGTCTGTCCTCGCAGATGTTCGAGCGGGACCTGAAGAAGAAGGGGCCTGAGGCGGTGCCGCTGGAGTTCATCCCGGCGCAGGGCCTGCTGGGCCGGCCGGACGACCTCTGTGCCCAGCACTTCTCTCTCGGCTGACCTCGGCGCCCCGCCCCCCAATAAACGGTTTTGTAGGAGAGTGACTCTCGGGTTGTGGGCGGGCAGCGGGGCCTGGCGCCTTCCTGGGGGCTGTGCCCTCATCTGCGCCTGCTGTCCCTTCCCCCCTCACCCCCCACCCCCACACCTGGCCTCCCTGGGAAAGAGCTCCCCAGGCCCCCCCTCCTCTGCAGCCTGGTGGGGAGGCCACCATGGGGCTCGTGCCGGGGGGCCGTCGGATGATGGACCTGTAGTGTGGGTGGCCAGGGGCACCAGGCGGGTCCTTGTGCCGTCGCTGTGTCTCCGGAGCTGACGGTGCAGCCCTGACTCGGGGTCCTCCCGGTGGCCCTACCCCGGGAGCAGGTCCCCAGGCGGCCTGGCCACCCCTGCCTGCCGCCAGCCCGGCAGTGGTATCCCCCTGCCGCCACCAATCCGGGCGCCCACCCAGGGACCAGCCACCATGTCAGTCGCCCTTTGTGTCTCCCCACTTAACCCCAGCACAGACCTGTCCCCCTGACACCAACCAGGGGCAGCAGCCTGACCAGCAGGCCCCACGTCCGCCAACCCACCGGGAGTTGGGGTGTGCCTCTCGGTGAAAGCAACCACATGGTGTACGCTCCCAGCTGTCACCCCCCACCCCCGGGTCTGCTCTCTGCTCCGTGACACTCCAGGGGCCGGAGCCGGAGACCCCTTCCTGTGCCCTTGTGCGGCTCCCCTGGCCAGTGCTCACTGGTCACTACTGCGTGGCCAGGGGCCTGCCGGTCAGGTCCCCCTGTGTGCACAGCGCAACCTCTGCACAGTCCCCCTCCCTCCCTCCGTCTGCCTGGTGCCGGGGGTTCCACCCGGAGATGCGGGGCCCCGGGTGATTAAGTCACAGTCGCTCCTGGGATGAGGAGCATCTGCCGAGACCTGGGGAACGCACCTGGCGATGAGGGTTAGGGCTCGACGCCCAAGGGTGTAATTGGCACTTAGAGAGTCAGCTGCAGACGATCAGCTGTCGGGGGGGGCGTATTCCCCGCGGCGTCAGCCGAGCGGAGCTGAGTGTGGGTGCTCTCCTGGGGCAGCAAGGGCGCGGTACCTGGGGCCTCCAAGGCCTGCAGGTGGGGCTCCCCCCTCGCTCGGGAGGCCACGTGGCCCGGCTGGCAGGCAGCAGGCACTCAAATGCCTTCAAATCTAATTTTTCTGGAACTTCCTCAGTCTGGTGGTGCGACCGTGGAGGCGGGCAGTGGAGGCGGGCGGGGCGGGGCGGGGCGGGCCGGGGCTGCAGGGAGACCTCGGCCGGCACGTTCACACCCACCATTGCCAGTCGCCCGCTGCCAGCACCCGAACTCCCCTGGCTCCTATGGCAGCAGCTCCCGAGCACGGGGTGCGTGTGGGGCTGGCCAGCAGACACTGGTCCCTGAGCCAGCTGTCCGGTCAGTTCCTGCGGGGACCATTCCCGGGGGCTGCGAGCGCACTGGGCCAGGCCTCTGTGTCCTGAGCCTCCTCTGTGGGCAGGTCTCCGAGGGGCCGCGGGACGGCCTGGGGCAGTGCCTGGGGTGGGGCAGGGACGAGCCGGCCTCCCGTTTCCTTCGAGCTCCCGGTCCAGCTGTGCCTGAGGCCAGACCCGCTCTCCTCTGGAGAAATCTCGTGAAAATGCTCCGGTCCTGCAGTCCAGGGGCCCCTTGGGCTCGACAGTTTGCTCGGAGACCCTGTACCCAGCGAGCAGGTGAGCCCTGGTTCTGGTCCCCCGCAGAGGGCTCAGGACAGGTCTGGCCACGACGGAGGGCGGGGGCCCGGACCACCACCCTCCCATCCGTGCCGGCCCTCGGCCCCGGGTGACCCTGGGTGGGGCTGTGACGGGCGGGAGCTGTGGGCTCCGCACCCCGACTTCCTGCCTCTCACGTAACCTCTCGGAGCCTTTGCCCGGGGTAGAGCGGGTCGGAGGCGGCTCCGCCCCCAGGTCTCCGGGGCGGTCGGGCCGGAGGCCGGCCCTGAGGTGGAGTCGGGCAGACAGGGTCCTCCGCAGAGGGGAGGGGACTGCTGACCGGCCACAGGAGCCACACAGAGCCGCCCCTTCCAGGGTCCTCCCTTCGGACAGGAGGTGGTCAGCGGGTGACCCTGATCACCTGCAGGGACTAGCAGGGGACAGGGGCCTCCTTCATAAATGTCCTTCCTGCCCCGTCAAGTTCCCTGCACAGAGGACAGTGCTCCCTCTGAGCCCCGCCACGGTCTGGACGGCCCCGTCCCAGGAGGGTCGTGTGCTTGTCACGTGAAAATGGCAGCCTGGCTCTTGTGCCTGACCGGGAGCCGTGTCCCCACAAGTGGCCCTTCGGCTGGGAGACCAAACATGGCGTGTCCTCGTAAGACCCTCAAGGTCGGCAGGAGGGGCTGCTGGGGAGGACTGGTCTCCGGGGCGGCGGCAGGTCCAGCTCGGGTGCAGTCGGGGGCGTCTCTCCCGGCCCGTCTTTGGACAGGAGGCCGGACACAGCAGGTGGGGGACGCCAGGATTCTTCCAGAACGGTGGTGCCACGCACTGAGAACTGCCTCCTGGTGGTCGGCAGGGGGTGGGGGGGGGCCTCAGGTCCTGGGGGCAGCCGACGGGTTCACGGGTCAGGGCTTTGGGGCCGCCGGACCATGGCTCAGGAGAGCGTTTTGGGTGCGGGGCACCCGCCATCCTTGGAGAAGCCGCCAGGTGGTTCCCAGGCCGATCTCCAGGGTCAGGTTTCCCGAGCAAGTGGCCGTCACTCCTGCAGGGGCCCGCGTGTCCTTCAGTGCAGCCAGGGCACGAGGTGACACGGAGCCACCCAGCCCGGGCCGGGCCAGGGAGCCTGTGGCCCCCGCTCCTGGGCTGAGCCCAGTCAGGAGGGAGGAGGTGGAGGCAGGCGTCTTGGGTCCTCGTGGGGAGAAGTCAGTCTGCAGACCCAGGTGCTGGGAGCCCCGGCTCCGGCTGCATGAGCTGCCGGGGCATCTGCTGGGCCAGGTTGCCAGCCAGCCCCCCCACGCCCAACACCGGGGGTCCTCACCCCACCGCCCACTGCTCCCATCCCAGGGCTGGGCCTCTGCCGTCTGCCGCAGGGGCTGGCTTGGCTGGGGACGGAGTTGGATGGAGAAGTCTGTTGAGGGGCATCCCTGTGTCTAAAGCTGGTCTTGGGCAGATGCGGACGTGCTCTTCCTGTCAGCAGGGACCTCTCCTGAGGCGATTACACTTCCTCGTCTGGGGGTGGACAGGGAATTGCGTTAGGGGGTGTCGGAGGGGCTGGCAGAGGGGGGAGGAGTCTGCCTGCGCGTGAGGGCGGGCCACGGGGGACCCCAGAGCTGGGACCGGTGGCTTCAGCTTCTCACAGCCCCTCAGTCTGCCCCCAGGAGCGAAGTGGGCCGGACGAGGCCGGCCCTGCTCTGAGCAGCAGGTGGACGCCTGTCAGGGACCCAGGAGGGGTGCCCTGGACCCCCACCCGGCCGGAGGTCTTAGTGACACACGGTGGGACCCAAAGCAGCCAGTGGATCCAAGGGTGCCCCCAGGGGGACCCCACTCCACTCACCCCAATTTTAAGAATTTTTGTTGTAGAATGATATAGAATAACTATAGAAATTGCAATTAATTATAACTATTTTACATGAATAACAACTACGTAACATAATTATTGATTATAAGTATATAATTAACATGTACTAATTACTTGTTATAAAGTTAGTTATGAATTATAGTTATTATAATAACTATATAATAAGTTGTTTATTTAAACAATTAAATGAAATTATGGGTACAGTGACTATCGTCATTACGATTATGGAAAATAGTAGAGCATCGTTTTCTTATCGTAGGTAGACCAGAAAGACAAACCTGGGACGTGAAACTTGTCTTCTCACTCTCACTGCTGGTACGGAGTCCCTGGTGTTCCGATGCATGTGCTTCTTGCACTGTCAACAAGGGTGGCTGCCACCCCCCCGGGGCCAACGGGCGTCCCCCATCCGGGGCTCCGTAGAAGGAGGTAGTTTATGGAGGAAAACGGTTTGCAAGCGGGCAGGCGCGGCCTCTGCACTCTGGGAGACGAAGGGGAAGTGGGCTGGTATAAAGAAAGTGCCCACCCTGGGCCCTAAATGGTCCATTTCTATGCAAATGAGGAATCCACATTCGCACAGTCTGATTGGTCCAGACGGCACTGCCCTGATGGTTAGGGAGCTTCTCAGATTGGCCAGTAAAGATGCAAATGAGGATATAGCTGCATGACTCCGATTGGACGGGGCAGGTCTCAGCCCATTGGTTGAATGCGATGCCTGGAGCTGCTTTATAAGGGTCGGTGCAGACACGGGCACCGCAGTCAGGAGGCTGGGAGCTGCTGCCTGGCTTTTCCCTGAAATGCAGCATGTGTGTGCATGTGCGTGTGCATGTGCATGTGTGCGTGAGGGGGGCCTCTGTCAGCAAGAGCCGCTGGACCCTGGTTGGGAGTTTGGGCCCTGCGAAGCGCCCTCCCTTGGCAGGTGTGTCTTTCTCAGAGTCGACAGCACACAGACACATTTTATTTACTAGCCAGAATTATACTTTGGGCACGTTTTAAACAAAATCTTCCTCTTTGGGGGTATAATTTACACACAATAAAATGTGCATTTAAAACGTGTTTTCCTCATTTTTTTAAACATTTTCACTTCAAAATAATTTAAGTGGCAAAAAGAGAAAAAAGATGCAAAAACAGAGTGAAGGAATCCCGTGTGTTCTTCCGACCGGGAACGCCTCCCACACGCAGCCCCGCGCCTCGTCGGAGCGCCTGGGACCCCGTGGCCTGGCTTTCCTCTTCTGCTGTGGAGTTTTCTTTTTCGGGGACACCAGTGATCCCTCCTACGCTGAGTCTCCCTCCTGTGGAATCCGAGCGATTTGTCTTCTTTCCGTGGCTTCTCTTCGAGGCTTCTCCCTAAATCTCTGGTCGCGGTGAGACCGGCAGCTTCCTTCCGCGTCAGCGGCCGCGTCGCTCTGAGCCACCCTCCGCTCCTTCGGCTCCGGGGTCCCGGGTCCTCGCTGCCTCCTTCAGTCGTGCATCCCATCTCCAGGTTCCCCTCCAGAGCACT